TTCGGAGGACAGCTCCCCACCTCAGGGAGGCCTGGGTGCTCTCCTGGGACTGCGGTGGCGCCCCGGCCTCAAAGCCCAAAGCCCACCCGGCCGTGGCCCTCGGCAGCGGCCAGCACTCACCACCTTCTCCCGGGACCGCAGGACGCCCAGCTTGCCGAAGCGCACGTGGAAGGGCGAGCACTGGAAGGAGCCGTCCACCTGCTCCACCACCAGCACATCGATGCAACCACTCAGTGTGGCCGGGTTCAGGCCCTGGTACAGCTCCTTCACCGTCCCAAACACGGTCCCCGCCAGCTGGCCCACGTAGTTCATGGCTGGGGCTGGCAAAGGGAGGCAGTGCTGGGACCAAGGCCTGGTCCTGGCCCCTCCGTGGGGAGACTTTGCATCCTGACCTCCCCCCCCCCACCCCCACTCCGGGTGCCCTGGCTTACAGTGTGTCGCCCTCGGAGCGCCTTTGAAGTCACAGGCTGGGAGGGTTGCCAGTAGACGTGGGTTCTAGCTCTGGCTCACCTACTGAGCAGCCATGAGGCTCCTGGACAGCCGCCTCCCTTCTCCAGGTGCCGATGCCCACATCTGTGAAATGAGGGCGCAGGGTAAGGCGACCTGGGGTTCTCTGAGCCTCTAAATGCCATGAGTAATGATAATGACCACAGTGCTCAGCGACAGGGCGCATTTCCTCTTCACAACAACTACAAGCTTGGCCGAGTGGGTGTCATTATTCCTGTTTACAGACAAGCCAGCTGAGGCTCAGAGAGGCGGAGTGACTTGCCCGGGATCTCACAACTAGGAAGGAGAGGAGCGGAGATTGAGCCCCAGAACCCTAGGTGGCCCAACTGTGGGAATAGGAGGAGGCAGGCACCCCTCCCTGGGGTCAATGGGGGGCGGCCTCATGACATTTCAGGCCCTGGCCCCTGTGGGTAACAGGCAACAGCCCTAAAGGCTGATATCCTCCCAGTAAATAAGGACACAGGAGTCTCAATTTTTCCACCTGAGAAATGGGTTCCGCTGTCTTGCTGCCTCCTGGTCCTAGGAATTGGAAGGGGCCTTGCTGGTCCATCGTGGCTGATTTGTGAGGTACCAGGGGTGGGAGCGCCGCAGGTGCCTAAGGCTCTGCCCAGCTCTCTTCCTGGGTTCATCTCCTTATAGCTGTGGGTGGAGGGAGCTCCCAGATTAAGGCTCCAACTACAAGTCCTTCCCAGTTTCCTTAGGAGGATGAGAAGTCCATCCACGGCCCACAGCTGACCCCGGTGTCTCTAGGCCATCGTTCTCAGGCCCGACCCCCCAGTCCTCAGGCCACTATTCAGGCCCAGGACTGGCCCGTGGCACCAAAGCTCTCCTCCTTCCCCCGGCCAGACCTGTCCCTCCAGCTTTCCCACACCAGGCACAGCTCGGTGAGCTAGAAGCAGGAGGTCGTGGCCACCAAAGAGAAAAACCAGAGCCACAATGAGAGCCGCCTCCACGCTGGCATGGTGCCCGCCTGCCAACTTCAGCTCATTGCCCTCCCCGCTGGCCAGGCCAGTGGCCCACTGCCCTCTGGCTGCCAGGACACAGGCCATCGGCTTCCACAGGGCACTTCCCTCTCTCAGACCCTGAATCAGAATTCCTGGAGGACCGCCTGCCATGCAAGACCAGCCCTCAAAGAAGTTAAGTGATTTATCCAAACTCTATTAAGCTAAGAGGCCATAGATGGGGCGAAGGAGTGATGACTCATATCCTGGTTTCCTGACTCCATGCCATGGTTCCTTCCACTCCTCGGCCCACAGTTGTCTGCGGAGAGAGCAGCCCGGCCCACAGCCCCCTTCTGCGCAGCCCTGTAATACCTTGCCACTCAAAGTGTGCTCCATCCCCAGCAGCACCAGCGTCACCTGGGAGCTTGTGAGCAGTGTGGAGCTTCACAGACATAAGGTACAATTTCAATTGCTAAAGTGAAAACTGAGATAAAATGAAGATCTTTGGACCCTGAGCATGCCACTCAAGTGTAATAAATATTTTATCAACAACGCAACAATGTGAAAATTTCCACTTTGGTGTCTCCCCACCTAACACCAAACTCTGTGAACATAGGTCTGGGGAGACAGACAAACTGACAAGGCAGACATGTGGTGGGCAGGACGCTAGACCACTGTGCCCAGGAAAAGCAGAGAGGACGCTAGAAGCCACCAGAAATAAAGGAACAACCATGGGAGGGGCAGACCCTGGCTGGGGGCAAAAGTCTGCCCAGCTGGAGGCCCAGGCCTGAGCTATCTGCCCTGCTGAGGGCAAAGGAGCTTGAGGCTGGGGGAGGGGTGAAACGCAAGCTGGACCAAGTACAGGGTTTCTCACCTTTGGAATCATTGATAATTGAATCTGGATAATTCTTTGCTGTGGGGGAACTGGAGGATGGTTAGCAGCATCCCTGGTCTCTACCCACTAGATACCAATAGTAGCACCTCCTCCAGTTGAGACAATCAAATTGTCTCTAAACATTATCAAAACTGGCCGTGGTTGAGAGCCACTGAAGGTAGTAGGAAGAGCTGGACAGCAGAGATGTCACCCAGGGGATTGTCCTGGGTGATCCACCCACGCAATGTCCTTAGGCAAGAACTTTGCTGGCCTCAATTTCCCCTTCGATGAAACAAGGCCTCAATTTCTCAAACCCTTCTCAGCCTCGAATTCATTCCTGTCTGTTCTCCCACCCACGAGTGGAGGCCCCCACATCTGCCTGCTCAGCATTTGGAGGGATTCCTGTGAGCCAGGCTCTGGCTGCCTTCCCCCACCTGCACCCATCCCTGAAGGCATCCCTCTCCCCAGGACCCAGCCTTGAGTCTTTCCCAGATGGAGGGAAGCTCTGCTTGGCTCCGCTATGTCACCCTTCACCCCGAACTAAAGTCTAAAATTAAATACTTCACCCCCCCCAACCCAGGTCAGCTGAATTTCTCTCAGGACTCATGGGTACCCCCAAAAAACCTCTGAATCCCATTCCCCAATTTTCTGCTCATCTGGTCCCTCCTTTCTCCTCCTGCTGAACTAGGTCAAGGCTTTATCACCAGATGCCTAGATCCTAGATGGCAACAGGACACTGTGGGGAAGGCACCAAACTGTCTGGGTTCCAATCCCCTCCCCGACACTAGCTGTGACCTTGGGCAAGTCTCTTCACCTCTCCAAGCCTGTTTCAGCCTCTGGAATGGGGATAACATAAGGGATGCAAGAGCAATTAACGACATAATTCAAGTAAAGTACTAGCAGGCAATAAATGCCCATACATGTCACCTATCAGCACCAGCATCTTTCCTGGCGTCGTGACAGCCCCATTCACCCAGGCTGGTCCCGACGACACTACGGGTCAGACTCCAATGCACTGTCCCTGCTCACAGGTGAGAGTTTAGACTTCTTAACTCAGCATTCAAGGCCCTGCATGATATGCTGACCCCACTGTTTGCAAACTGAGCAGGTGGGCTCCAGGCAGGCCTCACAGGGTGCCCAAGCCTGAGACCGCTCTGGGAACACGCACAGGTCTCCCAAGCCAATACACAACTCCACCACGGGGAAGCTGGAGCAAGCTGCCCTGGGTGGGAGCTTTCAGCTTTTGGGGCTCCCAGATTTGGGGCGAGGTAGGGGCAGGGTTCTCTATCTAGGAACAGAGGGAGCAGGAGGATAAGGGAAAGGGAAAAGCCCAACCCCAGGTTCCCAGCCGCCTTCACAGCTACCCTCCCCACCTGGCCAGCCTCAGGGCCGGCCGGGCAAGGTCACCCCTGCTTTGCCACTGAGACTACTTAGTACCAGAATGGGTGGGTTACCTCCCAAGGTCAGTCGGCCTGGGATGACGCTGGGCCGGCCTCCCCCGAAAGGTTTTTGCATCTCATTATCTCCTGATCCCAAATTCTGGATGTCCAGGGCCCCCCCACCCCCGCTGGGCCGGAAACAAGGACGAAGTTGAGTTCCTCAGCCCTCGAGAGTTCCCTTCTGGCTAGAGACCGACTCAGGCCCGAGAACAGGAAGGAATGAGGTTCGAATGGCAGGACGGATGGGCGGGGCAAGGCGGCGCGGGGTACCTCTTCGCAGGCCCGGGTTGGGCCCTACCTCTGGAGCTGCCCACTGGACCTCCGGGACCCGGAGTTGCCGCCTCTATCTGAGTGCACAGGGTCAGCGGCTAAGCGTCCTTGGTCCCGCACTCGCTTGGCACTTCCGCCTCCTCTAGGACCGGGAGAGATCCCGGCTCCTCCCCTTCCACGAGCACAGGGCGGGCTCCAACTGCCCCCCCTCCAAAGACCCCACCTCCGCCCAGTCCCCACGCCCAGTCCCCACGCCCAGGGCCGCCCTTGCACTTATAGCGTGTGGGCGGGGTCAGACCTCGGGCTCCACCCCTGCCCCGCCCCACGCCCTGGAGTTGCGGGAAGCATTGTGCGGGTGGCTGGCCACCTGCCTCGCCTCCAGGAACCCCGGCGAGGCGGGGCCCTTCACATCCTCCTGGCTTTGCTGCCAGCTCGCTGTGTGACTTTGGGTAAGTTTTCCCCAATCTGAGCCCCTTTTCTGCTTTGTCCAAGGGGAGAGCCACCTTGCAGGATTTTCGACATTAAGTGAAATGGCTCTGTGAGGTACCTGGTGTTCAAACGTCACCTCCTTGGGGCAGTTTCCCCTGACCCCTCTACCAGCCCAGACTGAACGGGACCCTCATATCTGTCATATGCTCACACAGCCCACAGTTGGAATTTCATAGTTGCTCGAATGACTATGATGATTGCCTCTTCCTTTGAATTGGAACTCCGCGTTTATTCTTACACCCCAGCGCCCAGTTCAGTGCCGGGCATACAACAGGAGCTCAATGAATGCCCACCCCCCTTCATTCCACCTACTGGACGCACTGTGGAGCAGCAGCAGGCTCAATACCGCTACTGGCCAGCAGAGGGCAGGCGATGACCAGCCTTCTCGCCCAGCTAAGTATCGTCTCTAGGCCGGCAAGCCCCACCCACTGGGACAGGTGAGCCCAGGTGCGCGCACTTCTGAAAAGATCCGTCGGCCCGCGAGCCACCCGGGAACGCTTTTTTCCTTTTGGATCTGTGGTTCGCGGTCTGTCCTGTATCAAAAGACCTCTCCGACAGCCTATCGGGATGTGGGCCCTGCAAAGAAGATGCGCTCAGAAGGCTCAGGAGGTGAGGGAATTTGCTGTTTAAGGGGTCGGGCACTGAGGAAAGGCTTGGAAGGGGGGGGGGGGCACAATGGCAAAGAGCCAGACTTAGAAGTGCTGGGCGGTGCGGAATGAGACCTGGCTGCCGTGGTTCTGTGACCCAAGAGGACAGGACCTGGCTGGAACCTCCGTTGTCTTTGCTCTAGCAAAAGTCATTTGGTGTCAGTCCTGAACCCAGGCAGCGTTTGGCTGGTATTTCAGAAGAGCCTTGTTGGGAGCAGAGCTATCTCAAAGTGGCCAGAGGGCAGTGCCATGCCACAAACCTTTCTGTGGAAGCGTTAGCTATAACTATTATATATAACAGTGAAATACTGGAAACATCGGCAGTCCCTGCAGTGAGCCTAGGAAGGGAGGGAGGAAGGAGAGGTCAGAGGTCGTGGCTACAGATGCATAGTTACTCCTCTTCGAGCCTCAGTTTTCTCATCTGCAAAATGGAGATAAAACCTCCCTTTCAGGATTGTATTGTGAGGATTAAACAGAATGAACAAAGTCAGTGACTGCCCATTGGAATCACTGTGTCCAGTGCAAGTACTGATGTCTGGCTGTGTCCAGTGCAAGTACCGATGTCTGGGGTACTGGAATTAAAAAACAAATAAACAAAAAAACAATAACAAAACAAAACGAAACAAACAAAAAAACACCTCTCCAGGTGATTGTAATGTGTAGCCAAGGCTGAGAACTACTGGGCCAAATAAAATGCTAAACACAGCACAGGGCACACACTAAGCATTCAATAATGTTTATGGCATTTTTTTAAAAGATGGAACTCAAATTGTCTTCATTGTTTCTTGTTAGATTGGGTGGAGGGAGTTGATATAAAGTTTGTTGCAGAAATTGTATTTCTGACAGGCTTGTTTCTGGAACTATAAATCAGAAATTTGGTGATTATGAGGCAGGGGAGACAGAGGCGGCCTCTGGGAGAATAATGCCCACGTGAACTGAATGAGGCCGGGCCCACTCTGCCATGGGTGCTTGTGTTTGCCCCTTTCTGGGGTGACGGATAGAGGCTATTTTCTCCTCTCTCAGAGTACACTCACCAGATGGGCCCCTGCTACTGGCAACTGTTGGTTTCTTAATTAACTCATAACTGTAGGTGGCACTTCCTTCTCTAGGGAACTAGGTGGTCTTCTGTGCTTCGTTAAGTCAGGCCCAAGGATTAGTTGCTTGCTGGGTGAGCCAGCATGAGGTGGAAGGACCCTCTCACCCAGGCCTGCAGCTCAGACCACTCCTGATGGCCTTGGTGAAGGTGGGAAGGGAGGCAGAGGGATCTGGGACCTTCTCCCTCCAGCATGCAGGCTCGGGGTTTGGGTGGTAAGCAGTTGGTATCTGGCTAGAGTTGTCAGATTTAGCAAATAAAAATAAAGGATGCCTCATTAAGTTTGAATTTCTGATAAATAACATAAGGTGTTTTATTTTTAGTGTGTGTCCCATGCAATATTTGGGGTGCACTTATACTAAAATTATGTGTTGTTTATCTGAAATTCAAATTTAAAGACAGACTTTATTTTTATTTGCTAAACCTGGCAACCCAGTGCCTGGCCAAATAGCCAAGGAGAACCCAGCATGTGGAATTTGCTGCCGGCGACAGCTCCTGCCCAGTGTTGCCACATTCAGCCTCCACCTGCTCCCAGCTGCTTCCATCGTGCAACTTGGACTCTCTGGCCTCTGTGCTTGGCCTTGGCCCTTCTGTCAGCCCCGCTGCCCTGCTTGGGCCCGTTCCTGCCTCTGCTCTTGCTCATGTTTTCCCTGCTTGGCATGTCTCCTGCCCTCTCCCATTAGCAATTGCAGACACTTTCTTGGGTCCAGGCACAATGCTGGGTTCTTCATTTGCATGGTCTCATTGGATTCTCACAAAACCTAGGGAGGAACAGCAGTGATCCTATTCTAGCCGTGGGGAAAGTGATGCTCTCAAGCACGTCAAACTCGCAGCCGGTGCGTTTGACACGCTTGCGAAAAGTGATTCTTAAAGTTGGTTCCTGGGCTGGCAGCAGCAGCCACACCTGGGGACTCCTTAGAAATGCAAACTCGGGCCCTACTCCAGACCTACTGAAGCAGAAACTCTGGGGGTGAGGCCTAGCCATCTGTATTTTACAAGAGCCGCCCCCCCCCCCACCAGGTGATTCGGATGCCAGTTGTAGTTTGAGACCCGCTGCTCTAAGACATGAAGCGGCTGCGGAGTCTCCCCAATCCAGGCAGAGGTATACAGGACCACCAGGCAAGGTGTTTATGATCTTACCCAGCACCATGCCTGGGCCAGACCCCGGTGATGCTGCAGCCACAGGACAGGCTTGAGGGGAGGGAAGGAGAGGAAGAAGGAAAAGAAAGACAAGAATAGACAGGCAGTCAGGTGACTATGATGTAAAAATATGAGAGCTGTGGTGGGCCAAGCCCTGGAGCCCATAGCAGGATGGGAGGGGCCAAGTCAAGCTTTCCTGAGGGTGCCACGCCAGCACGACCAAGGGTGATCCCGAGTGGGGGTGTGAAAGGATTAAGGAAAGAGACAAGAGAATGAAAGCTGGGTCTCGGTGGGACACTGCCTCCCTGATGAGGTGACAGCGCCAGCGCCCACAAGCCGTGTCTTTATTTTATAGCAGATGCCACGAGGCAAAGTAGGGGCGTGATCACGTTGTTTACAGCATTCTCGTGAGTTTCAACCTCACTCAACTACATGCACCTGAACTCTAGCAGGTTCAAGCTTACAACCACAGCCGTTGGCTATAATTGTGCTGGGAGGGCTCTGCCCTCCAGCTGGGACTTGCACGGGGCAATGAGAGGACCCTGTCCTTTCATTAGTCCGAGGTTTGAACCTGGCCAAAACACCGTAACCGCGCCCCACACCTGAGTAGATGTCTAAGCCTGAAAAAAAAAAATAAATTGCCATTTGTTTGGTGAAGAAGGGTGGGAACAATGTTCCAGGCGTAGGGTCTAGTTTGTACAAGGTCCTGGGGATAGTTCACTGTTGAGGATGGAAAGTGAAGTGAGGTGGGTGGGAGTGTGGGGTGGGCAAGGATTCTGATGGTGTTGAGGTGCTCAGAGCAAATGAAGCTTTAATGGGTATTGAGAAAAAGCCCTCTGGCTTCCAGGTGGAGTGGGCAGGGGGAAGGTGGGCAGGGGGACTCCGGGAGCCAGGCCTTCCCCCACCTCTAGATCCAGGCTGCTTCTGCCCTCACGACATCTGCAAAGATTCAGACCCCTATCGCAGCAGTGCGCAGGTGCGTGGGTCCAACGCTGGAGTCGCAGGGCCAAGGCTAATATATTCTGAGGGTTGAGGAAGCAGAGCCGCCTCTGCTGGCCCCGCCCCCTGCTGCAGGCCAGAGGAAGCCAGACTCTGGGCCGCAGGCCGGGGAATCCTGGGCTGGAGGGCAGGAGACTTCTGTGCTGTTCCCTACTCCTTCTAAAGAAGCCTCGGGTGCCAGCCTGGCCAGGTTGCCTGGCAGTGTGGGCTGCGGGTGGGCAGTTCCTGGCTCCAACTGTCCTTCCCAGAAAAACGTCAGTTTGACCGAAACCTTTTGGAACCAGCTGGTGATTTCCAGCCTAAGGAAGAATACGGAAAGATCATGAAGCATTGCATGAAGTGGAGCTTTCTGTGCATCTAACGTCCCTGTAGGACTTAACAACTGCCCCATGAACTTGACCTTCAGCAAAGGAACCTTCTATTCTTCCTCTTCTTATTTGAGGATACCCTCTGCTCCCCACTCTGCGTCTGGCATTCAGGATCATGCGTCATTATGCTTTCCAATTCAAGGAGGGTCTATCATGGTGCTCTTCATTGAAATATATGTTCAAAAATATTGTTTAGGGAGGATCAATTTATGCTCAGCCTTGAATTTTAAGTAGATGGAGGAGATACAAGAGAGCCAGCAGCAGCCTAAGTGGGTGGAAGTGGTGAATGAAGGCATGGATACTGGAGCGAAAGTGAGTACAAGCAGATAGCCTGCCTGGCCTGGAATCTGGGGCAAAACCGTGGGCATTGAGGAACAATTGATGGTTGTTGAGCAGGAGAGCGACATAATATTGCTAGTCGTTGTGCTAGATCCCAGCTCCATTGTTACTTCCTCAGGGAAGCCTTCAGTGGCAGACAGACTCTAAGGTGACCCTCTGTATCCCTGCCTCCTGGTCTTCATGCCTTTCTGTTATCCCTACCTTTTGAGTGTGGGCGGGACCTGTGACTTGATTTTAACCAATAGAATATGGCAGGGGTGCCAGCTGTCACTCCCATGATTATGTTACAGACTAGCTCCGGAAACTCTCCATGCTGACTTGATGAAGTAAACAGCCAGGTTTAGGAAGCTCACAAGGAGCTATGGTGGTCTCTAGAAGCTGTGGCAGCCTCCAGCAAAAATCTAGAGTCTTTAGTCCTATAGTCACAAGAAAATGAACCCAGCCAGCAGCCTGCGTGAGCTTGGAAGCAATTTTTCCCCAGTTCAGCCTCCAAATAAGAATGCTGCCTGGCTGTGACCTTGATTGCAGCCTTGTGAGTCCCAAAGCAGAAGACCCAACTAAGCCATGCTCAGACTCCTGACTCATAGAAATAGTGAGATAATCCTACATAATAAAAGGCTAATATGCAAACCGACCGAACAGCAGAACAACCGGTTGCTATGGTGCGCACTGACCACCAGGGGGCAGATGCTCATCACAGGAGCTGCCCCCTGGTGGTCAGTGTGCTCCCACAGGGGGAGCACGGCTCAGCCAGAAGCCAGGCTCACAGCTGGCGAGTGCAGTGGTGGTGGCGGGAGCCTCTCCCGGCAGCGCTAAGGATGTCCGACTGATGGTTTAGGCCCGCTCCCTGAGCCATCAATTGGACATTCCCCGAGGGCTCCCAGACTGTGAGAGGGTGCAGGTGGGCTGAGGGATCCCCCCGAGTGCACAAATTTCGTGCACTGGGCCTCTAGTACATGTATGTTGTTCAAAATTTCTAAGTTTTGGGTGATTTGTTACACAGTAATAGCTAATTAACACACC